CAATATAAAGTCTTCTTTCTAGTCTGGAACGTCCTTGATATCTTATTGAGGGTTCACGATGAGCGAGTTAATTACGAGTACGATTTGCTTAACGGGAATCTAGCTAGCTTTGTCCTTTGCCACACACGCTGAGTTTTCCACCGTTTAATTTATATAATGTCTTCGTAAAAATACTAATGTCCGATGAAAATACACTGAAGTTAGACGATTTGTATTGTTCCTGGTAAGTGTTATAACAATCACAGTTATATCGTCCGATTTTTATAGTACACTGATTATAGCGAACTAATAATAGATACTTTTCTTGGCGCGTCGCGTTAGTTATATTTATAGGCGTGGGAAGATTTTCTAGAAAATTTAGATTACGCAACAATGAAAATTAAAGCGTTTATGTACACATATATACTTTTGATTCTTACTCTCGAGAAGCTTCTACAACTTTGGAGAATAGGCGGACGTTTCACAATACATATATAACATTATAAGGTAGGCCTATTTTTAAATATAAACTACATCCAAACAAACGTTGACATTAAAATAAATATATAACAAAAAATTCGTTACAGTTAGTGTATCTAATTCTCGAAGTTGGTTAATAAATGTTTCAGTATGTGTGATACTTACATCTATAATTTTACATATCAGTTTATAGTGATTCAAACGTATATATTAAATATTTGTTGAGAAATCAGAAATTCTATTACACTATAACATTGAATCTTAATAGTTCATCGAAACATCAAATACATTTTTACAAATGAACATATTTTATAACTGAAAAAGAGTTGACAATGATAATCTTATAGTACCTTTAATTATAAATCAAGTGATTATTCTTTCATGTTTATAAATCCAACATATTGACCGTTTATCATAACATAACATACTTTACAACAACAACAACAATGTAAAATCACAGACTAAACGAGCATACTGAAACTTTATACTTTTTACGTATAAAGCACAGAATTATCTTTTATACAACTTATGTATATCATGTTCATATTACTATTTCAGTCATTTTGTATTTCCTAAAAATCAATGTTTATCAACGCCATTTCAGTTGAACATCTTGGCAGTATTAATGTGAGTTAGAAATTTGTGCAAGATAATTATTGCAGACATTTTGATTTACACATAAAGAAAAATGAAATCTGTATGCAGTCTTATGAAACTATCGTAACACTATCCATATGGAAACACTGTCCGCCTTTGTAAAACACACACGATGTGCCAAGTAAGACCATCTGCCTATAGAAACACTATCCTTAGTAAGACCATCCGCCTAGTACCATCATCCATCTATACAAACACTATCGTTAGTAATGATGATGACAAAACCTTGTCGAAACGTTGTACATTTGCTGTCATGTTAAGCTTATATTAAAGTTTTTCTTCATTACCCATTTAAGCCGTCTCCAGCCATTATTACTATCGTTAGTAATACCGTCTGCCTATAGAACACTGGTAACAACATCCGCCCTAACGAACCGCCATCTGGTGCCATTTCATAGAAATATGATGTCACCTCTCCCCTAGTATCATGAACTTACCTATGGTGCCACTTCATGGAACTTTGATGTAATCCCTCCTTAGCAAAATGTCCTGCGCCACACCTCTTCTCGTGCCACTTCTTGGAACTATAACCCTAGCAACGCTTCCTTAATGCCACGTCGTGGAACTATGACGTAATGATATCTAGTGCATAAAACAATGACGTCATTGTCTCTACCCCCTTCCCCCTGAGGCAGCCAATTAGCGTAAAGCGGCATCCTTTAGCCATAGGGGTATCCCTAGAACTATTTATATTAAACTGAAAACGGAAAGAAAATAACGAAATCTAAGGAAATTGAAAAAGCAGGTGTAGATGTTGCAGGTAATAGCTTTAACTTTGGTAAACACACTAAGAAAATGATAGAAAAACCAGGTAAAGGAGGGATCAAGAAGTGAGTAATTGTATAAAAACCAAAATTTGTATATAAAAGGGATAAAAAGACATTGCAACTAATTCCAGACCTATAAAAACTTACTTAACACTTAAAAATATTTTCCCTTTATGTAAAGATTAACTTTTTTCTCAATCCAAAGTACAATTATAAAGCATAGTGAACTTATACAGAGCTTGAATAAATTATATCAAAATGGGTGGTCATGCACAGTCTGTTGAACATGCATATTGACAATAATAGCCTTACACCACATTTTCCATTGCAAGAGGTTCCATTTTAAAGTTGTCCTGTCTGAAGCATGCTGCTCCTCCCTACAAGCTTTCATTTTAACATTCCGATCGCACCAAAATCTACAGCTACTGCATACAGCGTCTAGATCAACATGTATTCGCAGGGAATAGCATAAATACCAGTTTAATTCTCCAACTACTTGAATATGCAACAGTTGAACAGATATGTCATGGAAGCAATTTGTGCACAAGTGACTTGTGTCGCTTTTCCTGGGATATTACCACTGATATTACCACTGACCTTTTGTTCAGGGATTCTCACCTGTTACAAGACGCCAAACTTGAGAGCCTCTTTCTGTATGATCCTTGTATCTTAAGTTGGTCGCACTTTCTCTGTTTACTAATATCATTAACTATAAGAGATATCCCAGTTTTGGAAATTCTAAATCCCCGATCTGAACACGCCTTTATGATCTGAATATCTGATTATTTTGTGTTGGTCTGAACTGTTACATATTCTTCTCAATAGCGATAAAGTTGACAAAATGTCGTTCTGATACATTCTGTTCCACAATGTCTTTATATCGGATATATCGATTGTATTGTGACTTGCTGATTAGCATATTCAAAATCGTTTTAATATAACCTACTCAACCCTCTGTAGTAGAAAATTAGTACAATTTTTCTTACAGCCACTTATTTAAAAAAAGAAAATAGGTAGGATTTATACGCCAAAAAGCACATTATTACATATACGTTATTTTGATTTTCAGAACAAAACGTATAATACTAATAACAATGGAAAAAAAAAGGCGAAAGATGAATGCACGGAGTCAAGGAATACGTTTGTGATACAGGATACAACAGTCGAGTATCTTTCTCAGAAGTCGCAGTAATAAAGTAATGAATAATTTATTGCTTTCTTGGTTGTTTTTGTACTCCAGTCCATTACATTTATTTGCTTTTTATTGTATGATGCAGTCCACTTCAGTTTAATTTAGTATTAAAGGCGGCGCATTTAACAACAGCGCCCCCAGTGGCACAGCGGTAT